ACGATTGGTGACAGTCAGCACGGAGCTGTGGTCAATGGCTCGGCTCGATATCCAAGCAGAGCCCAGTGCCTGATCCCACAAAAGCTATTGTTTTGAAGCAGCATCTGTGGCTGAGAAAACGCACTAATTTATTGGAGGCTGTGAGAGAATTCTACATTCTACATTTCACATTCTTACACTTTCCTTAAACATTTCCTAGTGTCCAGTTTTGGAGACAGAATGCTTTTGATTTAACTCTTTGGTTATGTTCATATAACTGAATTTTGGTGGGGATTTCCCTCGTTTTTCCAGTTTTTATGTTTTCTTCTGTATTTTTAATGATCCATTCTACTCTGTGCAATTACAGATTATTCTTAACTTGTAATGGAAAACTAGTCAATGTGACTATTTCCGTCCATACAAATAGGTACACAGGCTGATTTAAACACCTCTCTTGTTTCAGGGCATAAGTGAATGTCTCTGAGGGTAAACAGCTATCCTAACAATGCCTGATGAATCCCAGTCTGGGAGCATTAAGAACAGGCTTTTTTTTCTCAAGTAACATATGTGAACACTTCTGGAGGCTGGTTGCAATGACCTGATCCATAACTCATGAGGCTCATTGTTTGATAAAAACAAGAATTACAAAATTAAGGTTGATGAAAAAACTGCTGCTTCACATCTAAAAAATATATTTTAAAAGCTTTTCATTGGTTTCTAAACATGGATAGAGATTTTCCTAATATTCATCCACTGAGAAATCAGGAAAAACATACATGAAGGTTATAATCAATATTAGTGAGATAGCAGGATATTCTCTTCCAAGGAATAACCTTTTGGATGAAGCTTTACTATTGATCTCTGAAGTCAGCGTTTTTCCCCTTGCCATTCTCATTGGCTGAAATGTAGCAGGGAGAATCTCCCCAGTAAATTCAGGTTACATTGTGCCTGAGCAGGATTGTCACCGGGGGAGCAGAAACAGTAACTGTTCTCATGTACATTTGTTGCTGTGGGTGTGTTACACATTAAAACACAGGCTCAGCCATATTCACCGAATCCATCCTGGACTATCAGACCTCTATTTCTATGGTATTGAACTTAGACTCTCAGGTCAATCTGGAAGCATCCTAAGGCTTTCACCAAGCTTTTAATTCCTGGATTATTTTCTTCTGCCTGAAGTTTCCCTTCTGCTTCCCTTTTGTTTGCTATTAATGCTTCATCTCTTCTGGGAGGGTGATTCACAGTTAATCAGCTCATCTATTCTGAGCCACTCACACCCAGGGCTCCGTGGCCAGGCCAGCAGGCATTGCTGGAACCCCTGGCTCTCCTCGGGGGCTTTGCTGTCCCTGCTGCCCTGTCACTGGGACACAATTACATCAACCATTGGGCCAGCTGCAGACGTGGGGGCCATCGACAGTTGCAGAAAATGGGATTTGGGGTATCTAATGAGCAGCTTATTTACATAAATACACCAGGTAAAGCAGGGGAAAAAAAAGTTCTACAGCTTGGAACACAAATTATTATTAGGCAGATAGAGAGAAAAATTTCCTGCAGTTGAACAAGCATATTTGTATCATATTAAACATTTCCCCCTCACTTTCTTCTCCACAAAAATATAGTTTTCACAACTGGAACAAATATTTAAATATTCAGTGTCTATTCAATGGAGATTTTGAATGAATTTTCCTATTTTATTATCAACATTTGCGGAGCACAAGCATGTTCTGTATCCTGAATTCTGGAATATACTTGACTTTACTTGCTTCGTATATACAAAATATAGTTAGAAAGCACATTACAAATTCCATATTAGCACCTGCTTTATCCTTGAAGTAGAAGAAATTCATCCTGTCCTTACCTTTCTGGTTTCCTCTGACTCAGCATTACCAGATTTACAAGCTCACACCTGTTTTGTTAAGCAGTCTTTTAAACCAGAGTTCCATAGACTGAATTTGCATGTTGCCAGACCCATTAAGTGTGTCTTCTTTAGCAAGAACAGAACCTCACCATTTTCCACATACATGCCTATTTATTTTTATTAATTAAACTCATCTTTATTAACTGTGAATTTGAGGTAGGTAATCCTCTTCTTGAAATACACTATAACATAATTTTTCAAATGTATTATCTCATGTTTATCACATGACCCACGTGAGTGTAATATCTCCTGCTCAAAGGTTCAGGTACACACCTGCACATGATCCTGGCTGAGAAACTGTTGATGAACAGATATCAACATGAAGTTGCCCTTATAATTCTTCCCTGGGGCAGGAAAATACGCCCATTACAAATCAGTCACCTACAAACCAGATATTTCACCAAGACATATTTAAATGAAGTTGCCAAACACTATTTTTCCTGGCATTTGATACTTCACTATCAGTTCATCCACCACCTCAGTTATCCAGTCCAGCTCACAGAATTCACTTTTTATATCTTGTTTTCCCCAAACTGGGCTGAATGCATACTTCCCAATCACTGGCTTTCTCTGGGAGAGGGCTTAAATTGTTCATTTGAATCACCCAGTCTTTTATTCCTTAGTGTGTCCAGTCTAAAAACTATGAAATATAAACCAGTTTACTACTCTTGCATACATGTCCCCATTAAAGATTTACTACATCTGTTCATATTAATAAGTTTCCATTTAAATCTTTCAAAAGCTCACAACACAAAACAGACCAAAACTAAAATTGTGAGTCTACCTCTTAAATTTAATGTTAATCCATGTTCCAAAAAAGGAACATGTGATGAAATGTAACAGTGATGAAATGTAAGAAATTCTGTAAGCCACTCCTAAAATGCTGTTTTCCCAGCATTGCATTTACCAGCTTCCTTATTTTTTAACTCATTACTGACCATATGGTTATTTTGCTTTTGCAACTGATTTTAACAATATTTCTATAAACTCACCACCATTTGATGGTTAGATGTGCAATCCTTAGTGCACCGATATGTTTAAAGGGTTGGAATATCCCTGTCTGGACGCAGTAATTCTGGTTACAAAGCTACTATACACAGATACAGGAGTGACTGAACGAGACAGGGAGCAGCACTATAGATCAAACAGTGACTCTGGGCTGGGGACAGGTGTATCCACAGCACAAAATAAGCCAGGGCTGAACGCTGAGCCCTGAGCTTACACATGGCTCCTGTGGCAGAGGCTGTGGGTGGAACCTGTGCTGGAAGCACCTCATCTCAAGTACTCAAATTAGTACTAGAAACACTCCTCCTCATCTCCCCGAACATGTCTTTGACTTACTGTAACTGTGAATAAATCTTCCAGGACTTTTTGCATAGTGTTTAACACATTTTAAATGTATTACTTGAATGAGGGTGGCATGATTTTTCCTACCCAGGCTCTCTGGGGAGCAAACACGGTATTAAAGGATCTCGGATGGGAAATACTCCTCCCATCTTTCTAGCTGACTAGGCTCTTCAGCCAAGCACTTGGTGTCCACAGTGATTTGCACCCTGGAAGCCTTTTAAAGACCAATTGAAAAATTCTTTCATTCTTCACTGTAGATCATCTTCAACTCTAAATAAAGTTAAAAAATGCTACATTACACTATAGATGCTCCAAACCTTCCTGAAAACTCCCCGTAAATCATGTTTAATTAAATAGTTGGGTACCTGTTTGTTCCTGCTTGCCAACTCCAACACGGCACATTTCAAAAGCTGTCTATCTGCAATTTTTGAGTCAATGTAAGACATGTTTTCAGCAGACTGCATTCCATTTCTGAGAAATCTCCAGTCCTCTTTATGATCTTGCTTGGCCTTGAGATTCTCTCTAGCCATGTTTTACTGTCTTTTCAGCCACTTTGGTCCCACAGTGCACAATGTCCTGTCCCAGCTCTGCCAGGGCACCTTTCCCTCTGCCTCTTTCCTTTGACTTCTGTGGGCCCTTGGCATCGAATGCCCATGTGCCCGTGGTGACGGCTCCCATCTGCACAGGATTTTCTAAGATGGGCAGTCCTGGTCCTCATCTGACCTGGCTATCAGTGGATGTCCCGGGCTCAGGATCAAACTGGTGATGCGGTTCGGCCCCGTCAGTCCCGGCCAGGCCCCGCTGTTCGGTGTCACTCCAGGCCGCTTTTCAGCTGCTGAAAGCGGCGGGGTTGTTGAGGAGGCCTGAGGGGAATGCGGCCGGTCCTGCCTGAATCTTCCTGAGGGGAACGGAGGCCGGTCCCGCCCCGGGATTCCCGCCTGAATCTCCATGAGGGGAACGAACCCGAACCGCCGCGGGGTTCCCGCTCAAATCTCCCTGAGGGGAGCGAACCCGAACCGCCACGAGGTTCCCGCTCAAATCTCCCTGAGGGGAGCGGGGCCCGAACCGCTGCGGGGTTCCCGCCTGAATCTCCCTGAGGGGAACGGGGACGGTCTCGCCTTGGGGTTCTCGCCTGAATCTCTCTGAGGGGAGCGGGGCCCGAACTGCCGCGAGATTCCCGCTCAAATCTCCCTGAGGGGAACGGGGCCCGAACCGCCGCGGGGTTCCCGCCTCAATCTCCCTGAGGGGAACGGGGACGGTCCCGCCGCGGGGTTCCCGCCTCAATCTCCCTGAGGGGACCGGGGCCCGAACCGCCGCGGGGTTCTCGTGTGAATGTCCATGGGAAGAATGGGGCCAGTCCGCGTTGCCATTGCCGACTCCCGGCCGCAGTCACAGAGACAGTGGGTAATTCGGGTAGGAAGGGACCTTTTGGGGCATCTGGTGCAACCTCCCTGTCCAGTCATGACAGCACACGGTACAGGATTGTGTTCCGACGGTTCTGGAATATTCCCCGTGAGGGAAACTCCACACCCTCTCGGGACAATTTTTTCCAGTGCTCGGTCACTCGCACAGTGGAGCAATTCTCCCTGTGTTCGGGTGGAACTTGCTATGTATCAGTTTCTGCCCATTGCCTGCTTTCCTGCGGCTCGGCAGCACGAGCAGAGCCCGGTCCTTCCCCTGGCGGCTCCTCCAGCCAGGGACGCGCCGCCCGCCCCGGGCCCCGCCGCACTACAGCTCCCGGCAGCCCCAGCGCCGTGACTCGGCCGGGGCGCCGCGGCGCGGGCCGGGATGGAGTGAGGGGCGAGCGGCGGACAGAGCGCGGCCCTGCGGCCCCCGCCCGTGTCTCGCTCCGCCCCGGGTCTATGCGGCCCCCCGGAGACCATGGGATCCAGGATCAAGTGAGTGCCCTCCGCAGCTCTCCAGCCCCGCTTCAGGCCCTCGGGAGAGCGAGAAGGGGACTGACTTCCCCGCCCTCCCTCCGCTCCGTGTGAGGCCGCGCGGGCGGGACCCCGGCCGAGCCCGCGGGCCTCGGGTTGGGCAAGAAGGAGAGGGAGAAGGAAGGGGAGAGAGCGCTCCCTGCCCCGTGGGCCGGGGAGACGGGCAGGACGGGCCGTTCGACCCCAACTCCGGGCAGGACCCCGGCGGGACCCTCCGGCCTTGCCCCAGGAGAGGGGAGAGAGCCGACCCTGCCTCACAGCCAGCCCGCTGCCCCTCCCGCTCTCGGGGCCAGGCGGGGACGGCACTGCAACGTTATCGGTGCAGGCCTGAGGGAGGGCGGGGGTGCTGTGTTGGGAACATCTTCGTTACCAGCACAGCCGACGCCTGTTCGAGGGTGTGGAGGGGTCGAAGGAGTGCAAATTTCTTTGCCCAGGTTTGGGTGTGCTGACTGAAGGACTACAGTCTGGCTAGGAGATAGCCAAAGTGCATTAGCAGAGGGGTTTGGGGGAGGGACTAGAGTGATGCAAGTGATTGATGTACTGGGCCTGAAGATCCATGCCCTCAATATTTGTTTTTTTTTTAATTTTCATAAAACTGGTGGTTGATTTATTGGTAAGCCTTGTTGGTGTGTTTGCTATAGTCACAACAAAATCTCAGTTCGTTCATATGCCATTCCAGGAAAATTCAGTTCGTCGGACACAGGTAGAGGTGTAATAAAGCCATTGCCAAGCAGGAGTGCTGGCATCTCTGTGTGTGAAAGGGTTATACAGTGGAGAAACCCCGTAGATCCTGTTTTATTCAGCATATTCAGCAGGTGCTGTTGAGCATTTCCATTTCCGTCTTGAACACAGTGTTGTTCAGGATTACATTAGGCTTTAGCTTTTCACTTCTTTTATTTAACTTGCATACAAGACTGGAGGGGATATAGTTTGTGTGATGACACACCGTTAAGTTCCCAAGCCCATAGGCTGGATGGATGAAAACGTGTCTTTTCAGCCAGGTATTTCAGGAAAATGTAAGCAGATAACGAGTGTTTGTAATGATAGCATTGTGGCATTTGGTTGGTTCCAGAAAGGAATGAGCCCTCCTTCCTTCCTAACCATACTGTGGGCATGAATTTTGCACCTTTTTGGAGTATGTATTCTCAACTGTTGCTGCAGAGAAATGAAAGCCTGAGAAACTGATTAAACTCTTACAGTCAAATTCAGGTAGAATTGAAAACTGTAGGTATTTTGGCAGCAGAGCAGGCTGTATCTCTAACATGCACCTTTAGACCCTGCAGCAGTCAGCCTTGCTTGGATCACTTCAAGATTATGGTCCAAAATGACTTCTTATGATGACCTCATCTTAAATCTATTAAAAGGTTGATGCTTACTTTAAATGCAGTTTCTTTTGTGTGCACACTGAGTCCACAAGCTTTTGTGTTTGCCATCGCTGATTGGATTTCAGTGGCTTTGAGTAGACTTTGCTAAATGAGCATGTCATCAGGCAGGTGAGATGTTCCAACTAGAAACTGGTGTCAGGGAGATGTAGCTGTTAGAAATACTTCATGCAGCCAGTGGAGTTAAGGACTTTTTATGTGCAAAGTCTTTCAGTGTGAACTTGTCTTTCAAGACTGCAGATAAAACCCAAGTCTTTCCCAATCACCAGAGTAACAGAGGTAATAAACCCAGGTAAACATTGCTTTTCATTCTTCTTGGACTTTGTGAGAAAGCATTTTGAGCGATTAAGCAACTTTGCCTTGGGCAACACTTAATAAAGTGCTTTTTTCCACTTAGGACAGAACACTGTGCCTGAGTAGTGTAAGAACAAAATTTCAAAACAGTCTTAAAAAATATGGAGTGAGAGAGCCTGTCTGAGTAAGAGGCTTTTCTGGTCTGCCTTTCTGAGCTGGATGTTTAATCCAGTAAAGACTTTAATTTTAGTGAGTAACTTCCTTTTTGGGACAGGTTGGAAGTGTGAATGAGAGAAATGTTTGGTAACTGGGTAGGATGAAGCACATCTCCTTTAGGGGTGTCACCAGTGTATGCTGGAGCCCCAATAAACATCCAGCAGTCACATCTCTTGCTTCTTGCAGTAGGTTGATAACTATGAGGGATATTAAACTGCTTGGCACAGGATCCCTTGCACACATTGTGATAGACTCTGCATGAAACCTGGGTATATCTGTCAGTTAGATTTCTGATGGGTGTATAATAATGAGTCATTTGAGTGAAGGATTGCTTAGAGAAAACTATCAGTAGCTGCATCAGACTGAAGTGAAAGAAATCAAGGAGTTGCCAGCAGTCCTGTAAGCTTTTGGCTTCTGTATAGCTGCAGGCAAAAAAAAAGCTAAATTGAGTGTTGGGTTAATCCTCTGTTGGAAGGTGCCAGGCACTCTGTGCCAGCCAGGTGAGGTGGGACAGGAGCCTTGTTAACCTGCTGCTGTCACTGCTCGAGAGCCTCTGTACTCCTTGTTAAAAAACAGAAAGGATTTCTTATGTATTTGTTGTTAATAATGTGTCAATATCAATCTGTTCAGCAGAATGGCATTGCACTATAAAAACAGTTGCCATGTCCCTTTCCAGAGGTGGTTGCATTTCTCTGGTGACACAATAGATGCCCAGTGTACATCTGGGAAAGCTTTCAGAGATTTAACAGAATGTTTGTTATATACTAAGATGAAATATTATCCACCTAGGGAATACAAGGCAAAAAAGTTAAATGTATGGAAATTAATCAAGGCTTCAGTTGTAGTTTCTGAATGGAATTAGTGATTACAGGTTTCTGCTAATAATTTATTTTCTGCAAGGGTTGAGCAGCTAACTCATGTTACAAGACAATTATCAGGCAGTGTCAGACTCCTCTCTTATGCCTCAGCTCTTAAGCAGAATGATACTTTCTGTCCTAAGTGCTACTGCATTTTCCTATGTGTACAAAAAATGCTCGTGGCAGAATTGAAATAGGCTGTAGAGATGTAAAGTATGTATTTCCAGCTATCCAGCTTTGGAGAAGGGCTTGATTTAATTTTATTCTGAATAAATCTCTTACAGTTTGGTAAACTACAATATTTGATCATAAAAGATACATAAATATCTTATTTGAAATATCTTATTTCAGTGTAAAATTGCATTTCATATTGATTGCTTTTAAATGGATGTTATTTCTACATCAGAGGTTTGAAGTAATTCCTACAACTGGCATTTATCACAGAAGTATTATTTTCTCATACTGCTCCTTCCTAAGTTTGTGTTTACAGAGAAGTATTGCATTTCCCTCTGAAATTACCTAGTTCTCAAATAAATGAGGTACTATGTATTTTTGTACCTCTCTGTCCTATGTATTTTTTTTTTTAAATTGCATGTTATTGTTCAGTTGCTAAGTGCCCGTGGGTCTGTAAGTGATTTTTGGGAGGAGGGAATACTTGGTGTGTGTGTTCAAGGCTCTTGTGCTGTGGAGGATTGCAGGGGTTGGGGTTTCTGTGTGATGCACAGGTGACACTGGGCTCCAGAATACACATTTCTGATCATGTTTATGCTGTATTTGCAAACCGTAGGAAGTCTTATAGTCACTTGTTTTCCTAATGCCTCTGAAAAGTTATAAAATATCCACAATCCAACAAGGGTTCATTCTCATACTGAGCTGTTGGTTGTTGAATGCAGCCTTTAATACTGAGTTTTTCACTTGGGAAAGCTACTTTAATTTCACTGTTCATAGAAATAAGTGGACGTTTGTCATGGAAAATTAAAATACAAAATGTGATGTCTTTTTGTCTGAAAGTTTTAGAATATAGTCTGTGCTCCTGCCAGCTGTGTTACACGTTGCTTTCACTTAAGAATTTGAACATGGGTTCTAACATAATACTAAAAAGGTGTTTGTTGTTTTAACCATTAGCTGTAAAAATATAAAGTTTATAAACTTTTAATTAAGGAAACAGGGTGCTAAAAATAAAGACACAAACAAGGAGGGTATGATAAGGCTGCCCAGCAATGTGTGTGAAAGGAAAAATACATTTCTGCTGCTCTGTGGGTGTGGTTCCATCCTCACCCCGTCCCGTGACTGTGGACTGGAGCTAAAGCCCAGTGTCTGCAGGGTATGTGCTGCAGCTTGAGTGGTGCCTCGAGAATTCTGCAAGTTTGGTTTATATTGCACAATATTAGCTGACTTTGGATTTCTCATAACTTATGAGTGTAGTTTTCTGAAAAAACAGCTACTTAAGACAAATCAGTTGGGAGCTGGTGGCAAATTAAATTACCATTAATTGAGTTGTGAACCATTGTTGCTCCTGAGAGGTGCTCTGTAAAACTGAGGAGTGTGATCCTGTGCTACTGAAAGCAATGGTAGCTTTTCTGTCAGTTTAAATAGGTGTGGGGTTTGGCTTAGAGCCACTTGAGTTGGCCTAAGTGGGCCCGTGGAATGGTTAGAAATGTTTTCCTTAATCCTTTTGGTGTTAAAGTAGGATTAAAAATAATAGAAATTCTCTGAAAAGTTAAGCTGAACTCCTTGATATGCTTATATGTTTGGTTTTAAATGTTGGGTAAGATGAGTTTAATTTTTAAAGTTATCATTCAGTTAGGAATTCTAGCATATATATTTATGGGTTTTGTCATAATTTTTGTCCTTAGCTGTAAGAAAGTTACAAAATTCACAAGTAAATTATACCACAGCAGTTTTCTAATGTTAGTTTGCATTAACACATAGGAGACAATATTATCACTATACAAGCAGCCATAAATTTGGAACAGTAATTATGCAATTTTGATTCTTGATTTTAACCAGAAGGTCTAAGAATAAAGTGTCACATGTTCAGACCTGCAAAATCCTTATTTCGGGATTACAGTCTCTTTAATCTCATAAATATCTGGAGTAGCTAAAATTGTTAGTCAGGAATTAACTCAAAATATTCTTTCTTATATAATCACCTGCTGCCTTTACATGATCATTACAAGATGTAGCTCCAGAGCATCACTTAGGGAGTTAAATTAGTAAGAACTGAAAATATACACTAAATGGTTTATTTGTTTGTTTTGAAGTAATATCATTAACTTTTTACTTTTACTACTGGTATATTTATAACTCTTGAGCAAAGTAAATCTCATTGCTCAAACATCATTTACATCTTGTAGCTCAATTTGGAATGGATTTTGACTGTCACACTTATTTCCATGCATCTGGCAAATTTCTGGATTTAAGACTTTGGAGTCTCATGAGACCAAGTCTTGTGCATTTGTAATATTCTCCAGCATGGCCTTTTTCTTGACAAAGTGGTAGAAATATTTTGACAGGTATTAAAAAGGGGTGCTGTCTTTATCCCAAATACAGCCTCTTAAGTTTTTCAGTAGTGTGTGCAGAAAGTGATTTTGCCTCCTCTTGACTGCAGATACTTTTTTTTTTTTTCCTCTTTTCCTGGGCAAATAGATGTCATGAAGGTGAACTCATGGTCACAATAATGAAAATGTGAGTCTGGGTGCTGTTTGTTCAGTGTGGGACAATGTGACTTTTCAGTTTGGTGAGAAGTTTCCAAGACTTGTTTTTCCTGAAAAAATTCCTGTGTTTATCACCTGACAAAGGTCTGATGAGAAATCATCCCGATGAGAAATCATCCCGAAGAAATGGAGATTCTCTAGTTGTCATTGTCCTGTGTGCATGCTGAGAACCCTTTCTGACTGCCTCATTGCAAGTGCACTTAAACCAAGTTCTCAGAGTGCTAAATACCTTCCTTTTGTTTCAGACAAAATCCAGAAACTACCTTTGAGGTGTATGCAGAAGTGACCCACTCAGGAATCAGCTGCATTGGGAAAGGTACTGTTCTGCACTATAGTTCTACCTATTCCTTGGCTAAAACTATTCTTATGAACAATGTATTGTGAGATTATGAAGTCTATTTTACGTTATGCTGTTCTAGCTTTTAAAAGTATCTCAATTACTGGTTCTGTGAAATCTTTTACAGTTAAATGTAAAAATGAGAGATTTATGTTTCTGTACCTGATTGTGGACAGTTTTCTGGTTTCTTTGACTGTTTTGTGTCTTTTCGTCTTTTAAAATGGGAAGAACTCTTCTCTTGATTAGGGTTGAAAAAGTAAGGGCTTTTTCAGATTGGTATTTGCTGCTCATGTAAAAAGGGGTAGTTTTAAACCAAAAAAATACACTTACAACGTTTTGTTTGGAATTTGGTTTTACTTCCTCTTTCTTACTTGTTTACAGAAGTATTTTTATCTGCTCCCAGAATTCTCACTTTGATCAAATGACTTTATCTGGAAATTAGGCATGGATGCAGCTTGTGATTTGATTAACTGTTTTTACCATTGTTATCAAGTCAAAATTACACAAGTATTTTTTCTGTAATATTATTTTGGTAAGTATTCCTATATTTATGGTAGAGAAATCTCATAACTGCTGAAACCAACATGTAAGTACATTTGGGAATTTTTGATTGCACTTTTATCTCACCTGGGAAACTTGATCAAATAAGCAGGAAAAGGAAAGGTTGAAATTCCTAATGCCAAAATTTAGTTCAAGATACTGTTATGAGAGTTCAGTCTCCAGAATGGTGCAAAAAGGAAGTTTGTCAAAATTAAATAATTATGATTTGTCAGCACATACTGAGGTAGTGTTTCTTTTGTCTTTGATTAAACAATCACGTGTGTGTTGTAGATATGGTGTAATGAACCAATAGAAAAGATTTTTGTATTTTACTGACTGGAAAGCCACTTACATCCTTTTATATCTATATTTGTTACAGTCTGCAAAAGTCAAATAGCTGCAACTCCTTCCTTCCCTGCCAAAGCCTCCTAGGAGCTGTAACTAGAATACAGTTTTGGCTTGTCCTACTGCTCTGTGCCATCACAGCTATTTGATGGAACTGCAGGAGCCCTGTTAATAACTGGTCTTTGTTTCTGCACATCTGACCTGGATTCTAGTGCCAGAAAATCTGAACAAATTTGACCATAAACATTACATTGTACAGTACTAGTGTCTGGGTATAATCTTCTCTTTGAAGTTTGTTTGCATCCCCCTGGAGGGATTAATTCCCTGCTGTGGGAAGGTGGGTTAAAAAGCACGGAAACTACTTTACAGGTTTTTAATTGGAGAATTTAGTATACATTTTGTTCTATAAACCAACTGATTCTGTGGGAGTTTCACTTAGTTGTGTTTTTAGGTTTGTTGTATGCACTTGTAGGTGCAAAATCTTCAGACATTCTTTCTAGAGAGTAAAAAAGTTCTAATAATTAAAACCTCCATGTAGTCTGTGTCCACTTTTTGGCTGTCTGTTCCATGCCAAAACCCCAAGAATATAGATTAACTTCTCTTTTTTTGCAGTCAGGGGATGTATGTTACATGCCATGAAGGAGCTACTGTTGAAAAAAGTAAAATGCATAGAAGTTGTATAAGAAGCAAATTATCAGGCAGGTTTAAAACTTAAAATTTCTCCCTGTTTAATTGATCTCAAAATTAACTAAGGCAGCTGTTTTTGAAGATTATGTCTAGTATAATAGTGCTATTGATACTTAAAATGCTCTTAATTCTGATATAAATCTTCTGACTTGGTCTTGAGGAGAAAGAATTGCTCCAAAGCTGTAACTGTCCCAGTGTGAGGGTTTGTCTGGCCTGTGGGATGGTAAAACTTGCCTCCGTTTTGTTACTCAAAAATTTGTGTAGCTGTCATGGATTGACCCCAGCTGGCAGCTCAGCCCCACACAACTGCCCTTTCCCCCAGTCCTGGTGGGATGGGGGAGCAAATTGGAAAAGTCAGAAAGGAGCAAAGGATGTTTGCCATGTGACTGTGAAGTACCAACTGAAATGTTAAGCTTTAATGTATTTCAAAGTTCACAGTCAACTGCAGAAGGGAAAAATCTGTTCTGGATTCCGTGAAAAACACCAATAAACCAGACCAAGTCCAATGGAAGGCCACAAAGATGGTGAGTGAGCTGAAGCACTTCATTGTGAGGAGACAAGTGCTGGGCTGGCCCAGCCTGGAGGAGACTCCAGGGATCCTGAGCAGCAGCCTTCCATCCCCAGGAGTCCATTGGGATGAGGGATCCAGGCTCACCAAGTGGTGTGTGGCAGGAGGATGAGGTGCAGTGACAGGCTGGAGCAAGGGACATTCTAAGGGAATATGGGGAGCCTGTTCACCATGAGGAGTCAAGGATTACACCAGCTCACTCAAGAGATGTTGTGCATCTCCATCCTTGGTGGTTTACAAGACCAAACTGCTTCAAAACCATGAAGAACCTGGTCTGACGTCATACCTGTTCAGGATCAAGCTTCAGGATCATCTGGGGAAGGTTTCGTACACTTAATAAGGTACAAAGAGAAAAATTTCATTGAAACCAAAGAAGTTGGAAAAGCAAACATTGTTTCATTCCAGTCCAGGCAGAACTTTGCCAAACCACAGTGAAATGTGTGAACTGAGAGTGGAAATGATGACTGGATCAGCTTGCTGTGCTCTCACTGTCCTTTCCCCTCAAGATTGTTTAGAAATAATGATCATGTGAAATAATGTGCTCAGCATTGCATATTTTTAGCACATGAAGTCTTTGGTGCATTATACAATTCCAGCATTCAGCTGTATTTAAAGGTGGTTTTTGTGCTTTTCTTTGTTGAATTCATAAGTCTTACTTGGAAACATGGATTTTTCTTAAGTAAATGTGATGTCTCTTTTTTGAGAACTGTGGAGCAGGATAGCTGCAACTCTGACTGGCCACATGAAGATGAATATTTCTTATTAGAAATATCTTTCCTTAAGAGAAGACAACAGCAAACTATTTTTTTGCCTAATGATTGATGTTTCAATGGAAGCTGGGAATTCCCCTTTTTGAGTGAACACATGTTTTCCCTATTCTTGCTTTTATTGCCAACGTACCTATAAAAGCTTTTCTTGTTGTCCTTGGTGTCCTTGGCCAGATTTACTTCTGGCAGGGCTTTAGCTTTCCTAACCTGATGCCTGGCTGTTCAGGCAGTTCCTCTGCATTCCTTCCAGGCCATGTTTCCCTGCTTCCACCCTCTGGAAGCTGCCTGTGTGTGTTTAGTTTGTCCACGAGCTCCTTGTTCACCCTTAGAGGCCTCTTCTCCCCTGATTTCCTCTTTGGGGGGATGCATTCCTCCAGAGCCTGAAGCCTTCTCACCAAAAGTGAGAAGCTGCAAACTAGAATAGAAAGAACAGAGTCTGTGTTTTTACAGTGACAGTACATGGAATTTATCTAGTGAGAAATCTGTGTTGTGTGTGTCAGGTATAAGTATGTCAAGCATAGGAACTTTGCAAGTCTAATTCTTCTCACCAGCTCCCACACAATTACTTTAAGAAAAAGAGGGGGAAATAGCCACAGTTCTATTGTAAAAATGGAATACTTAAGGGAAAATATTGGCTCAAAGTAAAACTAAGAAGTTTTATGTCTCTGGTGCATGGTCTTCTCTCATGCATTGGAATTGTTACATGATTTGGATAATTGAAAGCTTTTTATGAAATACTGCTATTTTACTGAATTTCTTTTCCTATCTTTAATCTTTGTGTAAAGGAAGGAAAAAGGCATTTTATAGGATGGTGATTTCTGTATTTGTCATGGCATTTCATAATACTGAAACTTCACAGAAGCTGAGATAGTAAATTACAAAGAACTTGTATTGTTTCTTTTATAGAAGATAACTGCTTAAGTTCACTTAAGCACTCCTTGATATCCAGTTCTATGCTATGGACACATTGTAGAGAAGTACATTGCAGCTGTTTCCTACATTTTAAATCTCAGACAGCAGATTGTTTTGTGCAGGTTTTTTGAGATGCAGAAGTGGAAAGAATCTCCTAGCAAATTTAGTTTAAATGCCTTTATAAAGAAAGTGAAAGCTTACTACTTGTGAAATTTTTCTTTTAACTTTCAAAGCACTTTATGATCTTAAAACTGCTGCAGATCATTCATCAAAAATAGGATGTGACAAATTTAAGGCTGTTGCTGGACCTTAGCCAAAGAGTCTCTCTTGTTAGAAAGGGCTGTGAGGAGAATTGTAGTCTGACTGTCAAACTGTTCATATAGCAAAAGAGAATTTGTTAGTCTAAAGTAAGCGATCAAAATAGTCTCTGAAGTAAGAGCATTTGAAAGTAAATGCTCACAAGACTAAAACACCCCCTACACCCCTGTCTGGGAGGACGTACCATGCTTTTGTGTGGGGTTTTTGTGTTCTTGCCAAAGCAGACATTATAAAAGTATGTCAAATCTGTAGCTTTACCATGTAGTGTGCCAAAAGGCCTTTCTCTCCAAGGACCTCATCTTTCATCTTTTTGTGAGTGTAGCATAAATTCTTGCTGTGTGTTCAAGGAAAAAGCTGAAATGGTTTAGTACAGCTAAAGGATTTCTTTCTGAGTGTTTTTTTAAAAACCATGGTAAGTTAGAAGCCTAAACGCGACCGCATGGACAAAGTGTGAGTATGTTAGAGTTTAACAAATGTTCACTGGATTAGGAAAGGAAATGTAGTTTATGCTACTTCTTTTATGACAGAATTTAAAAGGTCTTGCTGTAAGACTCTCCATGTGCTTCTTTCTTTTCTCGAAAACATACCGCTAGGTTGAAAAGGGAGATGAATCTTAGAAGGAAACTATTAACTCTGAGGTAGTTTATCATTGTTTGAGTGAAAGGATGAAATTTGCATTTGAATTGGCTCCTAGAGTAGCATGTACTACTAATCTTGTTCCTACTAGAAGCTTGTGAGTAGTTTAAGTACTTCCTTCTTTACTTTTCATGTTCTAGCCTTGGGTTGTAATAGCTCTTTCCCTCCCTCCCCCCCTTCCCAGTAGATCACAAATGCATAACTTA